TGGGAGATCACTGGGAACACCAGGGGCCAAATAACTACTACCAAACTATTGCTGTTTCCTAAGGCAATACTTTCAGTCTGTCCCAGGGCAGCTATGGCTACATTAATACAGTATATCACCAGCATGAATGGATGCAGGTAAAGTCTCTTGGTTATGTTTAATCCCATAGGCACATGGACATAGGTTGTGTATGAGCACAAGCTTTATTAAAAAATAAAAATGTTTTAATCATATATATATATCATATTATTTCATAATAATATGTTTAATGCCCTGTATTGGCATATGTATGTTTGTGAATAATGTGTTATTCTTCCAAATGAAAAAATATCTCTTCTGATTTGGCTGTTCAACTTGACCCCCATTATAGCAACAAAATTGAAAATAGATACAAAAATAAAATATTAACTTTATCCAGAAACAAGTCCGCTTTGTTAGTGTACCATGTTTCAGTTGTTAGCTATTCAGATAGTTTTTGTTCAAGGCAATTGCAAACCTATTTATATGTATTTGTCAACAAATTACGTTCTAGTCTTTCTGTTTCCTCCCACTCTTGATTTCTGCAACATACAGTTTTATTGCAGTCAGATAATCTGCAGTTCTTTTCTCCACTTCTCACCAGAAGCCCATATCTAATATAATTATGACTGTCTCCTCAATGAACTTAATTATTTTACACAAATAGAATTTACTCTAATAGAGAAAAAGTGGGTATGTCTCATTTTAACGTCTTTGTGTTTTTGATCATTGCCTTCATTGAATAGTTCCACTGAGACGTGGTCAGCTCTCTTCAGGGAGCCTCAGACTTTTGGACATGTTTTGGGGTGAAAGTATCCAAAGGAAACGTGCAGACACAAGGACAGCATGCAAACTTCACTCAGAAAGACTGAGTTAAATCCAACACCTCAGCACAAACTAAGTTGCATTTATTTATTTGCTGCTCTGCTTTATTCACTGTCTTTGGTGCAGTTTTAGTATCACATGGAAACTGAGAAGGAACATCCAAAATAACTTAATGTGTGTATCTCTGTTGAAGTGTCTTGTGTGACCACTCGTACAAATATACAAGACAATAGTGAACGCAATACACCCATAAAAGAGTGTTTTAAAGGGTGCATTTGATGAATGGTGTCTTTTCTCTGGGTGACACTGGCCTCTCCATGATTTAGGCTGCCCTGCCTTTCCCCTTAAGCAGTGAAATCATAAACAACAGTATAGTTCTATAGTAGTTCATCTTGTTCATGGAGGACAGAATAAATGGGCCAGTGTCAGGTGACAAAAGCTGGAAAAGCCATTGCAGTGAACCTAATATCTCCAAAATGAAGTGTGTCTGGAGTTTACTATATAAGCTAGAGTTTCTCAAACTGTGGGCTGTGTACAGGTGGTAACGGGCTGCACTTGGTGCCCTCTGCAGTTTGCATGTCGTCAATGTTTTAGTTCACTATAAAGGTCCGTTACCTCAGACAATGATCTTGATGATAGTTGTATCATTTCCAGAAGACTGGACAAACCTCGGATGAACCAGAGCAGGTTTGGTCTGTGTCCGTCTGAAGTCACTCGTTACTCACAGATACTTCTTTTTAACCTCACTCAGTGTAACATGAAACACAATGAAATTGGTATCATAATAGAAGTAACTCAAGTTTCAGCCACACTTCATGTAAGTGCATATTTACTTCCCTTTTATAACTGTTTACAATTCATTAGAGAAAAAAGAATCAGCATTATTGTCTAAATAGCTTTCTGTGTTTTTCTAATTAAAATAAAAGCTGTCATTTGAACACCATATTTCTGATATTATTAGTTGGACTCATTTTGACCAAGCTACATTTTAAATATAGTAACATTGTTGTAGAAATGTTTATATATATTTATCTCATTAACAAATCTAAGATATTATAAGTTGGCCACCGCGGTCTTTGTGAGTGTGCACATTTGAAACATGAATGCTCCTTATCTTGGAGCAGGATAAGCTTACACCTCTGCACCCTCACTCTGCAGAGCCCCACGGCTTCATCCCCTTTTATGGGACACACCTGATACTGCAAACATGGACAATGGCCGCACAACGACTGCAATCAAGACTATCCATAAACACAGCACTCCCACTGACCCTGGAAGAATCGCCAAACAGGAGTGTATTCTCTCAATATCTACAGGAGATCCATATGACAGGCATCTTTTATGATTCTTCATATCCATTTTACCATAAGAATAAAAAGATTCACTTGAATAAGGCAAGTGCCAGAGGGTTACATGCCCTTAAAATATTTGATAAAACGTGTTTGTTGTATACATAATAATAATAATAATGATAATATGTTTAACTAAAAATATAAAGAATCTGTGCAATAATAATAATAATAATAATATGATTCCTTTGAAGTTGTTCAAATATTAACTTCAATTAAATTTAAGATAATAAAAAAGAAATCCCCAGATCATAACTTGAAATTAAGATATCAGGCAATCTACACATAGTTAACAGATTTTCAGTCAGATGTTTGGAACGCCTGTATTTAAATAAAAACAGCATTTGTATTGAACACTCTCTAAAAGTGCCACAAGGTCAAAATAAAATTTGTTTTATGGAGAGCTTTCCCCACATTATTCAGAACCTCAGAAGTCTTCAATCTTTGTTGTTTTGTCTGTATTTGTCTGTGCACACTGGAGACTTTTTGCTAATGTGTTCCAATGTGTTTTTTTTACTGCAAATGGCAAATAAAGTGAATCTGAATCTTTCAGCCTCTATGGTATTGCATCACCACGACCTCATGTTATTTAGGCTTACACTGTACATAATAATAATAATAATAACAACGACAATAATGATAATAATTTGTGCACTGTCTCCTGAGATTGGGCTGTGGTTTGCTGATTTCTGCTGCAGGTTTCTCAATCTGCAGGTGTCTGTGAGACACTGCAGCGGCTGTAAAGTGTGGCCTCTGACCTCTGACTGCAGCTCAGGGAAAGGACTTCCCCATGGGGACAATAACCTGTCACATTAACTCAATTGGTAGGTGCAAATTTAAAAAGAATAAAAGTGACAATGAAGAGAAACAAAACGGCAAAGGAGTATTTACCCATTCACTTTTACTCGTGCTTGTGACGTTCATGTTTGTGTGCTAAAGGTGATCAGATGTGTTGATTGTTGCATATATATAGTGTTTGTCTTTTTCCCTCTCATACTGAGGCTGGTTTGTGGCCTATAAGTTAGGACCATGTTTTACAAACGGTTACAGCGCCAGAACGCAACATTCCCCTGTGATTGTTTCAGGCTTTTTCTCATCTCTCTTTACTTCCTCAGCTTTTCACCCTGGAGTCTAAATTAAACTATACTTGCACTTCGATCTGATAGATGAAGACAAATAGGTTGAATCAAACCCCTCTCACACCTGTTGAACAGGATCCTCATCATTTGAACAAAATAATCATCGCCATGAGCCTTGGCACCACCAGATCAGGTTTTATGAGCCTTTTCTTCAAGGTTGTGGATTTTTCCAACATCTTTAGCCCAAAAGTTTAATAGCCTTAATACTCGCTCTTTGGAGACACATGCCGCCTCTCGGTGCCAGCTGAGGCTCATGTTTCAAGCCTTATGGGAAACAAGAAGGTTTGGGAAGAATGGCGTTTGGTGAGAGACCAAATATTCCGTGTTATGTCTAATTCCAAAGCCGCTTTGCGCTGTTTTGAGCAGAGCCACGTACAGCGCTCACTCCGTCATTAGGAGCGAAATTATTATAGATCCATGATCAGTGACCTTCACAGAGTCCAGGCTTCTGCGCAAATACGGTGCCACTGTGCGCCCTGTCTGCGGCAACTGCGCAAAACTCCTCATTATAAGATAAGAATTCCTTTATTCGTCCCACAGTGGGGAAATTTCGATGTTGCATCGCACATAATGGATACTTTCAGTATGACACGAGACAAGACACAAACAAGTATGTCCAGTGACGCTGTGGACATACAAAGAGTGTTTCTTAATGTCTCATGTGATTGGCCAATTATGATAATTTGTTTTATCTAAACAATAAAGAAATATGTTCTATAAAAATAACTTGCCTTTCTAAGGGAAGTAACTAACATTAAATTAACAAAGCGAAATGTTGTTCTTTACAAGTTCTTAAGTTATTTACATACAATAACTTGAACACTTGTCTTGAATAAATACCATAAAAATACAAACAGCTTTTGCAATCAAATTTGTGTTCAATTACAATTAAATATAACTAAGCATTTTTTAGTCACGATCACTGATATAAATCGTTCTAATTTTGTCTAACACTTCTCAAATTCGGATACTAATTTCGTGCGTAATGTGCCTTCTTCGTTTCCAAGTAAAATGTTGTAAATAGTCCATTTACACAAATGTAAATATAAAAGTGCACGTGCATAGGCTACATTTAAAGCCCTGGAACAAATCTAATGAAATATCCTTAAATACAACACAGGAAAAAGCAAACGACTCGTAATTACAATCCGTGTGTTTTTCTTCTTTTATTGCAAAGGGTATATGAAACTATAAGTGTATGAATGATTTACGTTTCATATCGCAAAGTTTACATGCACTCACTCGTTCTCTTATATAAGACACTTGAGAATATCATACCCCGTCTTTCAGCCCCGTACCCATTTGTCCAAAAAACAAAACAATAACTTTTATGGCTCTCCCTAAAATAAAAGCATGTAAACAACAAAAATAGTGTGGACAAAGCGCCGGGACACGTCACAATAAGTAACAATATTTAAGACCTTTGTATTATTGTTTTAACAATATCATGGTAGAACATTCTGGTAAAATTGACTACTTTCCAATGAAGTCTCACCTTCGGTTTCCTCGCAGCAAAAGTTGTGTCCATTTCCACTAAGACAGTTACGCACGGGACGTAACTCTGTGCTGTGCACAAACGGAGATTGAATCCCCATTTTGTTTTTCAAAACAATAGTTCATTGTGAGCGCAGATGGTCCAAAGAACACCCTGCTGCGGAGCGGTGCGCGTCTACGAGCCCAGGTCCACCAGGTTGGCCGACATGGGGTTGAGGATGTCGTGGTGCAGTCCGTGGTGGTGGTGGTGATGGTGCAGCACTGAGTCCGCGCTCGGCACCGGGATGGCACTGGGCCCGGGCGGCGGTGCGAGGCCGTGCAGAGACGCCAAGCCGCTGCTGTTGGAGCCCATGAGCATCGTGGGGCCCGGGGACGAGTTGTGGTGGTGGTCCGGGGTTCCAGACGGCGTCTTGTCATCGTCTGAACTCCCTAAAAGACTTTTACTTCCATTCATGGAAGAGGACAGCGCGTTGTGGTTGTTACTGTTCGAGTTCTCGTTGTTTTCTCTGCAAACACAGATAACAACAAATTAGGCGAATGCATAGAAAGAGAGACATATTTATGCATTTTAAAAACAAAAACTAAATAAAGGAAAAGCACATCAGGTTTGTGTTGTGTCAAAAGGCTAGTCATGCCGTAAAACGAGTATTTCAGTAGGCCTGTCTGTAATAATGAATAAGTGTGTTGTATCTATAATATTGAACATGTGTTTAAGTTAAATAATTTTGTGATTAATAATTAAAATCCGACCATATTTGGTTAAAGTCAATTGGCTTATTGACAAATAGATGAAAAAGTTGATAGATGACAACATGAATTATTCCAGTGGTGAAAGTTCGCTGAGTAACGCGTCTATAAGTGTGTATGGTGTAGTGAGTAAGGGCTTTTTCAGTCTTGGGGGAGACATGATTTACGTAAAGCTTTCAGCCTGAATTAGAGGCCAGAAGGTGAAAGAAGACACCAGCGCCATGAGCACCTGACTGCTGCAGTCTCCGCAGCTCTGCCCTGCTGCACGGCTCCCTGATTCTTCAATGCTCTGGAGTCTGAGGGGTTAAACTTGTACACGGGGAAAGCGGTTTGTAAAGTGTTATTATGAGGATAAAAGGAGCCTGGTGCAAATGTAATCCCCTTATAATTTACAAGCCTTTCATTTACGCCAATACACACTCTACCATACACTCTTAAATAAAAAGCCTATATATTACGTGGTGAGTAGTAGTGCAGAACAAGTGCTGATGACAGGTTTGTGACTCCAGAAAATGTTGCCACAATTGTCATTAAAAATACATGCGTAAAGACAGTAGTGTTTGTTGATGTTTTGTTATTTGATATTGAATTACACATTATGTCTACCATGTTTTACTTTCATGCAATACATCACAATAGAAGAGCCAATGTGTGTCTCTTAGCAAACCACGTGCGTAAAAGTTACGGTGTTCTTGCGTTGTACCCATTTTTGATGAAAACTTGCAGTGACACCCTATACTGCGGCTCCCTATAGCGCCAGGGTTAAGACCAGGGTTAGGGTCCATGGGTGTTATGTTTTTGTCATTTTCCGTACCTCTCCTTGGCCTCCGCTGCCCGGTCACGCTGTCTCCGGTTCTTGAACCAGTTGCTGACTTGTGTGGTCGTGAGTCCGGTCGCCTCCGCAAGTTCGCGCTTCTCTCGGGGGGACGGGTACGGGTTGTGCGTGTACCACTCTCGCAGCACGCTTCGGCTCTTCTCCTTGAAGCAGTAGCTGGTCTCCTCTCCGTCCCAGATCGATCGGGGCAAAGGAAACTTCCTTCTCACTCTGTATTTGCCCACGGCTCCAAGCGGCCGCCCGCGCAGCTTCTCCGCCTCGATGTAGTGCGCCTTGAGCCACAGCTGCTGCAGTTTGGGATGGTTGTGTGGGGAGAACTGATGACTCTCCAGGATCTTGTAGAGCTCTCGGAAGTTGCCTCTGTGAAAGGCTACAACCGCCTTCGCCTTCAGCACAGACTCGTTTTTGTGGAGGTGCTCGCAGGCGGGGAGAGACCAGAGAAAGCGGCCCAGTCTCTCAATGTTGCCGCCTTGTTGGAGCACCTCGCAGACGCACGCAACTTGCTCCTGCGTAAAACCAAACGTGGGAAGCATAGACATTGTTGAGTAAAGTCCACAAAAGTCCGGAGAAAGAAGTTAAAAGTTTTTCAAGTCAAGTCCATGGAGCCGCAGGAGACTCCAAGCGACAGCTCCTCATAAGGCTCTGAAGTGGAGCGTGTTCTGCGCCGTTTACGCACGTCCTTTTCCGTGGTGTTTCTGCACAACCTACTCCCACAGCCCTGACTGCTGGCTCCTTTTAATAATATTATTCTAAGCTGGCAAGACAAGCATTCATATGAACTCTGATTGGTCGGTTATCTGACCCAGGGATGGCGAGGATAAGACAATAGCCTTGGTCAAATTATTTGCCATGGTTACGCTGTCACTCAAAGTAACCAGATACGCTTTGAGGTGGCTCCCTGGCAAAGTCAAGCCGATTGTTCCCCTCGCGCAGCCCGCCTTCCCAATAGTAAGAACGCGCACATTTGTCTTTCTTAACACTTTATCCTTCCCTTTAACTTTGACAGACAGCTGCAGCAGCCAAACGGAGCGCGCGTGGGAGAGTTTGGGGAGTTGCAGAATCACGCAGCCCAAGGATGGCGCCAGAGACGCAGCCTACGGGGCTCATGCGCACTCAGCCCTCTCCACTGCGCACGGGACACACCACACTCCTGTGAGATTGTTCAAACCCAATGTGCGTATTATTCATCCAATTAAAACGACCCAATTTAATGGATTAACAAAAAGCTGTGTTTTAGGACAGAAAAAATTTGCGAAAAACAAAATAAAATAAAAATTAAATTAAAAATATGAATACTTAAAACTACTACTACTTCACTACTACAGAAACTATTAGGCCTAATACTAATATAAGATAATAATACTACAATAAAAAAAAAATCCTTATAATATAATATAGTACAAGTATAGTCAAACCAAATGAATCGACAGGATATTGTAAATTATATTTAGGCCGTATTTATTGCATCATAAAAAGGGCTGCTATTGATGTCCAGTCATCCATGTGTCCAGTATGTACATGAAAGTTTGGCTGCGAACAAAACTGAAGGAACAATCTTTAGTTTAAAGTTCATTTCCAAAGGAAGAGAAACACTCAGGGCAAACATGTTCTGTCACTAATCTCGTAACAAATGTGCGAGGACGTACAGAGGGAATCTCTCCGACTCGTACCGTTAAGTATATTTACTTTGACCAAGAGTCAAAGATTAGCATCATTATAATATGTTCTTCTCAAAAGGTTTCCAGAAGATATAAAACATGAATGCGCGGTCACTTGTTGTTTTCTGTCCAGTGGTTACAAAAAATAATAAATACAAAGTTACATGATCCGGTCCATGTTATTCGACGTGTGTGCACGTCACGTTCAGTGTGTCACGCGCGTGACCTTGTAATGTGATGTGTGTAATTGTTGAATGCTGTCTAGACATTGACCAGTGGTAGATGCGTATCTGTCCATGCACCATGGGACCTCTTCATTAGAGGCTTCTACTGTCACATTCTCCCAGGATCATAACACTGTCGGCCAGCATACTGCTACATATATGACTAAAACAACACATATAAATAATACTATTTTTCTGTATTATTTTTATTATAGGTTAATAATAATGATTATAATACGGACAATATTAATAATAACAATAATACCAATATAATATAATAAAATATATCAAATATAATATTTTAACTCTAATAGTAATAACAGATATTTCCCACAATTCCTAATGTATATATTATTTATTTGTTTTTACAACGAGAACGTGAAAACTAAAATAACAATAATCACCTGTCAGTTTTGATGGATGCGACCTGAACGCGTTGAGTGAAAACGTAAGTGTGCGTAAATAATGGCATGACAGATGCGCCTTTTAACGTGACGCGAGATGAGAAGGAAAAACCTAATCACATCCGTTCATCTAATAACAGCAACAGTGAAATGCGCAGTAACTGGACCCATTGAGCGGCACGCGGAGACACGCACACGCATGAGTGGTCCTATCTAAAAGCCTTAACTATTCATCAACACCACAGACACATAATTTCTGTTCATAATTTACAGAAGTTATGGCAGTTTGTTGCCCAGTAATGCAGATGTTAAATGTGGCACTAAGTTATTTGTGTTTTGGGACTGGTGCAGATAAGGATGATGCTTTGGAATAGGCCTAATGTGACACACAATCTACCTTACATTCGACCATAATTTAATAACAATTAGTCACTTTTAGCTATACATTCGACCATAATTTAATAACAATTAGTCACTTTTAGCTAGTTAGTTCACTCTGTGTGTATTAATACTGACAATATCTCTGTGTATAAAGTTGTCAGAGGTCTGCAGATGCACCAATACAAGACCAAGGAATATTTGCATCTGTTATAGACATCATTTGCTCCTTTTAGTTACATATCTCAACCTACACGTTCGTACTGCACTCTATATTACACCAAATGTGACAGAATCCTGAATAATTTGCACAGAGGAGCGCACTTCTTCTTCCTGCTGCCTGTCTGCTGCTGACAGTGTTTGTAAACCACTTGTTTCCCTGTATCAGCCCTGATCAGACGCATCATTATAGCACTCCTGATGAATGGAGATCACATTGCCTCAAATAGACCAGCCCCTATTTTCACAACCTCCCACTGCTCACCTTGGCCACTCTCCACCAAGACCCCCACTAATTGAGCTGATTACTGCAAGATGTGTGTGTCATGGGGGTTTCCTGGTTGGCTGCATGGACAGATTCTGCATGTGCAAAAGACAAGCGCAACAAGGGGTTGATGAGTAACATTCTTGCAGACAGACATCCAAATGTTGTGGGGAGCAGCGGAGGACTTATTAAAGCCATGTCCCGTACGGTGCAGGGATATGAACGAGGGCCTATCCAATAATTGGTTGTTTACATCTCTCTTGTTACCGCAGAGGCCAGGGCAGAGAGGCAGGGGGGACGGGGCAGATGAGGAGGAGGCTTTATTTTCAAGGGTTGGTCAGGGTCCCTCTTGAGTGATGAGTGTTTGAAATTAATATGAATATTTGGGACTATAAATGTCATATGGATTGAGTTGTAGTGATGAATGTGTGGTGTTTGTAAAGAAAAGCCATATTTGGATGTGGCATAAACATACGTCACAGTAGCAGTATGCTAAAATCTACATAATACTGATATTTTACAAATCTTAGGCTATCTGAAATTACAAAAACTGAAAAGGTGGCTTGACGAAAATCAGAAGTGTGAATTCTAAACCGGTCATTTATGTTTACTGTGTTTTTCTCAGCCTTGTCTTCCTGTTTGTCTGTGTTTTGTATGTTATTTAAAAGCCAAAGGACAGGGACAGAGATTTTTGCGTGTGGTTTTCCCTTTACTGTACTGTATGTATTTGGACGTCGGTTACCTTTTGGTGGCAATGTCCCTATTAATAAATGAACAAATGCATAACGCATTAAAACAATTATTCGTTAGGTCATGCATTTTAATATTTCTTTGAGTTTTTCTTTGTTTTGATATATAAGGGGTTGATGTTTTGTCTTCTTTGTGTTGTTGTCCTGGATGTTTTTGTGTTTTGGTTTTAGTTGAGTGTGTTAAACAGGATTTGAGTGGTACCGTGTGTCTGAGGACAGGGGATGATCTGAGACATTTGGAAACTTTTATGGTTTTTAGTTTAACTGTCATGGACTAATGGTTCTGATGTTTCCTTGATGTATTTCTTATGTGTTATAACTGTTATAATCTGCTGTTGACAAGCTGACAATACTTTGACACATTTCAAGATGACTGCAGTGTTGTGATTTTGACCTATACAAAAATAATAATTGAAAAAAATGTAATTGTAATAGATCGATGACACTTTGACAGCCCAGGCTCTATCCCTGCACTGGTGTAAGGGAAAACCGTGCTGTGTCTGTCCTCGAGCTCGTGCAGAATGTGAAGTGTGTGTGAAGAGAAGTGAGAAAGTCCTGCTCTCCACTCTGTCCCATAATTTATTCGATCAATCACTCCATTTGATTCCTGTTTATTTTCAGGAGCCTTATGGTCATTTCAGCCTCACAGTGCAGTCTTTATGCACAGCCAAGGCGTTCCCCTTTAACTACTGAGAACATATCGCCTTCTCCGGGACATCAGTCTAAAGTGGGCCACTTTTCTCGCACTTATGTTGATATTTCATGCTTTCTGACTGTTATGGCGAAAATCCACTTGGCCTGACTCTTGTCAAAGGCACAGATGTATATACACTCTTAAAGCTAGGGTACCTAACGTTCAAACCACCAAAAATGTAACTCTAATGAAATCCATGACTCCTGCAGTGGTTTTCACATGCATGTATTTTGGCCTCAGTTACAACTTTACATCCCCTGGCTTTAAAGAAACTGGATCATTCTTGTTCAGCGAATCTCAGCTCTCAGCCTAAAGTGTAAAACAGTGGCTCACAGGGCTCAAGTATGCAAATGGTAAAACAGCATGTGCGGTCTGATTTGTTGAGAACACACACGCATGCATGCACAAACGCACACACACACACACACACGCACAGACGCAGGCACGCACACATAAACACAAGCACAGACGCACAAAAACTCATTATTCATTCACTCATATTATAACTATAACTATTATTATTAAAAAATAATTAGTAAATTGACAATGATTTAGTAAAATAAGTTTATTACTTTGCACTTCATTTATATTAAAACATTGTCATATTTAATATCAGTGAATATTAAACAAATTGTGAATGCATTTGAAACCACATATTCTCTTTTTACAATAATATTATAAACATAGACTTTTATTTGTAAATGTCCAAAACATCCACATACATTTCAAACATGTGATTGTGAAACCATTTTTGTTGCCAGGTTGCTCTGTTAGAAACATCTTTTTGAAGTTCAGCGTGTCTTGCCGAGTGTTTGTCGCGGCACTCAGTTCTGTGTGTGAGAAGTTTTCCACCGACTCTGCAGCATTGCAAATCACATGTCAGGAAGGTATTTATTAAAAGTGAGCTGCAGTAATTAGCAACGTGCTAATGCTTGAATTTGTCTGTGTCCCTGTACTCCAGCCTTTTACTGCTCTCCGAGGCTTCACTTAAAACCCAAGTTTGACCCCATGTCACCAACCATATGGCCAGTAAATACTTCCATGATAGAGTCAGGAGCGGCGCTGCCGATACTGTAACCCGGAGTATACACATCTGGGCCGATGAAATGAAAACCCACTCATTTAAATTGCCTAGACCTGGTCTGCTGTAGGTAGCACTACAAATGATGCTTTTAGAGCTGTAGATCTAAAATGATGGGTGGAGCTATTGCAGGTTGTATTTCCAGACATTGCAAATGTATTTCAGCTTGGCATGATCATAGGAAATACTATAATCCCAAGTTTAATTGTGGCAGTTATTTCAGTTTATTTAGTGATTGTGTTCCTGATGAATAGCAATAGATTTTTAAGAAGCAATCCAGTGTTTCTACTTTGTTCTATGATCATTTTTATGTTGGAAGTTTAGGTGCCCATTCTTTAAAGTAGACCTTTGTCTTGAGAGCAGCTAAATTAACATCAGTATTTCTGCCTGCTCCCAAACCTTTTCTTTGAGCTCAGTTGTTCTTTCATCACTGGACCACCACAGACAGAGGGCCTCACATCTCAGACTGCTCCAGGCTCAAATGTTTTACTGCAACTTTTTACTCCAAACCACCTCTTATCTTCTATTTTTTTACACTTTCCCCCAACTCCCATATGTTCACAGCCTGCGACAATTCTATTAATGATGTGTCTGTTTTCATCTTCCAAATGACTTCTCTTGCACTAAACCCAAGCATCCATCAGCTGGTGTAGAGGGGCACACTGGAGACGAAGCCCTGGTGGTGTTTGCTTTGTGTGGTACAAAGCATCTCCCCTTTGTTTTTATATGGAACTATAGAGTTTCATGATTGCTTTTTAATTCTGTCTGCAGGGTATATTAAATGGCAGCAACCCTCTGAAACAGTTTGTTCAGGAAACTAACAATTATAGTGGTTCTGTTGCATATACGCGTGGAGACCGCAGAGATCGCCATCCTCCTCCCACAGAGCAGCTCTGTGTGACCGCATCCACCTGGTGACAAATACAAATGATCTAATGTTGAACTTATGTTGTTTAGCCGACTCATTTAAATGTATTTTTTGTTAATACCTAATATTGTTTTAATGGGAGACCGTCTGGAATGCCAGGTGCCGAAATGGGCTATATGTATATTGCATGTGTGTCCTTAAGCGAGACACTTCGGCCCTGTGGCCCAGTATGAATGTGGTCAGACAGGTCGATGGCGCAGAGTATGAACAGAATGTATTCAATTCACTAAAAGACAATATATGAATCCAATATATATGTTTTTACTTAATAATATACAAAGAAACAGAGTAGTAAGGCAAGGCAAGGCAAGTTTATTTGTATAGCACAATTCATACACAAGGCAATTCAAAGTGCTGAACAAAACAAGAAAGCATTAAAATCATAAATAATCACAGTACATTAAAAAGAAAGATAAAAATATAAAATCCCTCAGTTGTATGCACACCTAAACAGAACTGTCTTTAACCTGGTTTTAAACATTGTCAGAGAGGAGGCCTGTCTCACAGGTAGTAGGTAGTGATGCACAGGTCATTGTGGATACATTGATAATAACACAATAGTTTGCTTGCTGTGAAACTTGTTTTGGAAAAGTGCTATAGAACAAAAGTTATTAATAGTAAGAATAATAATATTGTGAGCTCTTACCAGTCAGTCTTTGTATCTACCCTCTCCTATGGTCTTGAGTTTTGTGTAATGATCAAAAGGGCATAAAGATGAAGTGGTCAAAATGCATTTCTTCAGCAGAGTTGGCCTATTGAGAGAGGATGAGCTTGCATTGAAGCCGCTGCTCCACAATGAGAAGATTCATCTGGATGTGTCTCAGGAATTTGTTTTGGATGCCTCCTGGAAGTTTCCATATCTTTCCACCTACTCTCAATCAGGAAAGTTACATAAACATTAAATAATAGGCACAACAATGAGCAAGTCATGTGTATTTAAATGTAATGTTCTGATCATAGTTGTTTCAAAACTCACGGAAATATTTCTTCCTGATGTCTGACCATTCCAATAGAGTGTTGCTCGTCTCCCTCAGACCACCAGGACACAGGATAATAATGTACACAATCATCTGACCGACCAAGGCTTGTGTGCCAAGTGCGAGGGTCTCCTGGTGAAGACGTGCCCGCTGGCGTGTGGGATATGAGGGGCTTAGAGCAGAGCACAGAGCCTGGATTACTGTCAATTGCTCCCAAATTACAATAATGCTCAGTGCGGGGCCCACCCACACATGCGCTGAGAGAGCGGTGATAGATGGGTGCATGTGTCCATTCCACAGCCCATCTACAACACTGGCCATTATCTCACACTGTGACAAGTGGAAGCAAGTGGAGAGCCCAGTGTCCCGTGACGCAACCAGTGCCGCCTTTGGTGCGACAAGCAGCGAGTACAAAAGGTCAACATCAAATCAATCCAGATGGTTATATATCAGCTTTTGGATCTACAGTATAACATGGTGTAAACATCTGGGATCACAGTACATCACAAAATACTGATTTCATTGTATATGGCCTTTTAAATTTGTACATTGGACTTCCATGACAAAAATCATGCTAAATTGCTTATTGAGCCTCTGATCTAATATCATATGTTTAAGGAGAAATTATTTAAGGATTTGTGAAATGCTAAAATTGGTAGCTACTGGAACGCTGAAAATAGCATGTCACTTGTCCAACATCATGTTTTTGTATGCATGGAGAAAGTTGTGATGAGTGACTTGAGATGGTATCATTAGAGCTGAGCAGATGGCTAATCCACTCTCACATATCTAATCAGCAAAGCCCTCCAAATGACAGGGTAATTTCATAAAGCTCTTTGTCATTTAGTATTTGGCAAATAGCACGGGACTAATAAACAACACATTTGTTTCTTGACTGTGTGTGTGTGTGTATGTGTATGTATGTGTGTGGGTGTGTAAGGGGAGCAGCTGCGGGGCTTCCATGTGCTTTTATGAGTATGTATTTGAGCGGCAGTGTGAACTCGGCGTGGAGTATTGTGTGGAGGGGCCAGGGGTCAGAGCTGAACGTGTGAGCGCAGCGTTAACAGACAAGGTACTAATCTGGACTCTCACGCTGGAGGTCAGCTAGGAACCGGCTAATCTGCGTATTTGATTCGTCCATAATTGTGACTAAGAGTAAGAATCTCATATATTATTGAGGGCCCTAGCTGTTCCTCTCCACAAAAAGAGACTACTCTTACATCAGTGAATGCAAATGGTGAAAATGTTCTTTTATAATATTGTTAGAATTAAGGGAATGCTTGTAAACTCTCATTAAAGTAAAATAATCTGACATATACTGCAGGTGGAAATATAAATATAAACTGCCAACATGTACAGATGTATACTGTACATACATACATACAGATGTATACACACAAAAATATATTACCTAAAGTTGTAGATTTTAAGATTTCTTTCCTTATTATGCTGAAAAATAGATTTCATACTTGCTTTCTTTTATGTTAGAGTTAGAGATTTTATTTTATTTTAGTATAGAGTTATTATTAATGTATCTTGTGCTGTGTGCTGCTCATTCCTACTGTTCTGTAACTTGTGATGCAACACTGACATTTCCTCACTGTGGGACGAATAAAGGATCTCTTAATCTTAATCTATTGTAGCCAATGGAAACATTTGAATGGTAAGAAGCAATATAGGAGGACAAACTTCAGGACAGGTACGAGTCAGGTTCATGGAAATGCAATCTCGTACACACGTAGAAAGTCAGCAAGAAAAACGCAACAAATATTTAGCTTTTTATTCTTTTATTTTATTGTTTAAATATCCTTCATAATACAAATGTTTGGACTTTACATATTCTCTTCCCACACTGCATTAGGACCTGTTGGCTTGGGGAAAAAATGCTTAACATTTCTTTTTTGGACTCTTTATGGTCTACCACTGTATATGCCAAATGCAACCTTTCACATAAAGTATAACACAAAACAAGGCAGTGATAAAAATCTGAGCGGCCACATTCTGCGACTCATATTTGGGAGTGTGCGCGAACTGCAAACAGAATATTTACAGCTCAGGCAAAACCCAGCGCACCACAGAAAGACAAAACTTATCTGTGCGTTCACTTTGAGGACGAGGGCAGTCCATCACGTCCAGTCTCCGCTGCTTCTTCCTTGCAGCCGCACGTCGCTCACGGCTCAGAGTCATCCTCCGGTCAGGAAGTGTCCGGCTCACGCACACATGGACAAGTGCACCGGCCCCCGCTGACTTGATGTGTAGTTAAACATGAAGCACAGGTACAGGCGAGCAGCGGTGATGGAGAGGGCAGCTCCGGCTTGTTGCAGTCCAGCTCATATTTACATCAGACGTAATAATATTATCAATAAAAGCCAACAGGAGTCGTAAGTCAGCGCAGGCACAGAGCAGCAGCTGTGGAGACTTCATCCTCCTCCTCCTCCTCCCAGGACAGAGAGACCAGAGCAGTGACTCACGGAGGAAGACGAGAGGATAAATACCACTGCGCTGTACAAGATATCACAGAATGTGGGGGGAATATTTCAAAAACATATTAATATTAACTTATAATATCATAGCATCTTTATTATGCTTAAGATAGAGACTTTATACTTATGCCATAGTTGGAGATTTTAGATTTGTCTCCTTGTTACACTAAAGCCAGAGATTTTATACTTGCTTATTTTAATGCTAAAGTTAGAGATTTTATTTTGTTTTAATTTAGAGTTATTCTTCATTTACCTTGTGCTGTGTGCTCCTCATTCCTGCTGTTCTGTAACCGGTGATGCAACACTGACATTTAACCAATGTGGGACGAATGAAAGATCTCTTAATCTTATGATCAAAACATTTATGAATAAAGAGAATGTATTGTTAATTTATGTTGAATAAGATTTTATTCGGGTATCAGCACTGTATCTACCCTAACAGTAGGTAACAAATATCTATTTTCAAAATGTCATATAAAACATAATTTTACTTGAAACCGGGCAGGTTTTTGTCGATTCACCACCAGCTGATTAGAAAATCCAACAGCTGTTGAGAAAAGATACTCATATGAAATACAAATATAAAACCCAAAAGTCATTGGTCCATGAGGATAAACAAGGGCCAACATTTTGTCTAATTTACATAATATTTAAATTTACAAATTTGAGATAAAATGTAAAGGATTGTGTGTGTAAATTGTCTCAGCATTTTGTATTTTAAATGTACAACCTGAGCTCTACAATATTTCTAGAATTCAAAACTTTTTTCTACTTCGTCCAGTCGACATTCGTCCAGTCGACATTTGGTGAAAATAACACATCTTTTCATGCATTCCTTCCAATCACGCTCTCTCTCCTGTCTGTAAAATCAGGTGTCAGGTCTCATTGTGGACTGCTACTCTTCAAACTCTTCATCAGCGTGTGTCTGAGTCTCGTGGCCTGCGGGGACGACCCTCCGAGGACAGATCAAAAGACGTCCCCCCCCACCCCACCCCCACACTGGACGCTAGACCTAATCAAAGGACCACCCTGAAGAGCCAATCAGGTAGCTTCTTATTCGGCTGGTGCATTAAGCTGCTCTGTGATTCGCATGGCCGGACATGGAGCTCTCCGCAGGTCACAGGTCTCTGAGTATGTCGCTCAGACTATTTAGAGGAATTGAATACTGTGATTGGACTTACAATACTTCATTACTCATTTCACGCAGGCATTTGATTAATGGAGAGACGCATCTGTAAAAGGTTAGCGGTGTCTGTGCGAGGCTGGCGTAGACTTTAGTATGTCCGTGGTTAAATAATGTCATGTCTGTATCAGCAAATAAGTTTGAGGGTTTGGAGTGGTTGATCACATTTGTTTGTTTTTTTCCTTGTTTTATTTATGTTCTAGTGAATTTGAATCTGACATTTTAAAACTGAACAATTAGGTTTTATAAAGTATCATTACTACATTACTTTTATTTGACTCCTTCTCATGTATTCTTACTACTACTACTCCTACTAGTGAATCTATTTGAAGCTGACATAAAACAATGAGGTTTTATAAAATATCACATTACTTTTTTGACTCCTACCTATATTCCTACTACTACTACTACTCCTACTTCTACTATTACTACTACTACTACTACTACTACTCCTACTTCTACTATTACTACTACTACTACTACCTATAGCGCAGTTGTTTTGTTGGCAACGTTCTTTAAAAGGCTCAGTAATAAGTGTTATTTGATACACAGACAGACAAAAGGTGGAGTCCTAAAGATGTATTTTCTTTACTTGTTTAATTCAGTTCATTTTGGAGATACCATCAAAAGACATGCAGTCGATACAAAATGTTAAAAGATAGTACATTGCATTGATAGAGGGCTCTTAAAGGCACTTGTTTGCTTTTCTTCTTGTTTAAGTAACACTTAAAGTTGACAAAAGTATGCCCTTAGAAAAAATAATAATTCCTACATTTTTCCTTAGCAAAACTATTAGGCTTTGACAATGGCACTACTCAGACAGCGCAATAGCAGGGAGCGTTGTGTGTGCAGTCCTGAGAATGGAGTGGTTGTATCACTTGCCCCTTTTCAGTGGAAGTGACACGAGATACTTAAAGACCAAAATTGCCTCACTTAGCCAAACAAACCGGCTTAGCTGACACACACACACACACACACCCATACACATAGCACATACAAAAGAACACAAACACACAGATACGCTCACACACTGAACATTGTGAGCTCTTATAGGCAGTAATATCAGGATGTTCATTCCCCCACTAAGACTCACAAAAACTAAAATAAGAAAGAAAGGGGGGGGGGGGGTCATTCTAATGCATATACCCCCCACACGAGGGTCAGAAAGGCCAGTGCAGATAGGATGTACATGAGAGAACACGGAGTTTACTAGGCTTCAGCGGCTACGAGAGCTCACATAAAAATGGTGAGCATTCTACAGCACGTCTTTGAAGTTGGGGATATTCTGAAGCGCCACTCAAGATATTGGCAATTGCGTTTACAACCGTCAAGCTTGCTTTGCCAGTCTTGCATCCTCAAGACACTATGTCCAGAGTCTATTTAAATGCGTCAAATATTTTTACTGGATTGTCTATTATTACATTTCGTATCGATTGCTTTATTTGCCATTCACCAGAGACGACCGTATTCCTTCGCTTCCTATAATGTGTCTCTGTATATGTATGTGTTTGTAGAATAATGCTGCTGAATAATAAACATTGATACGTGTCACTGTCAAACAATTGTTAGAGGAAAAATACAGATAATTGTCTTTATGAAGCAGTTTTTCCTTTTTACACAACACTTCCTTCCTCATTTTTACACTCCCATTTGAACCATTAAGTCCCAGCTGAAAAATGCACCTTCCTTTTCCTCCCAAGCCCCCTGCAACTTAACAAATGTCAAGAATTCATTTTATAGAGCGCGTTAAAGTTGCTTACAGCGCGCATGCAACTCAAAATGTGGTGTGTGTGTGTGTGTGAGAGAGAGTAAATCCAGCCACGGGATTTCTAATGGTTTCTTTCGGGACCACATGTCCTTGGAGTCTGCACCAGGACTCGAGTGCGGACTATACGGTTACACTGGTCCATAGCGGTGTCAAAGGAGTTGTATGTTGTGCTGGATAATAAAAGGCTGGGAGAGAGGAGCCGTGAGGGGGGACTTTTGGGACAAGCAGATCGTGTGGTGTTACTTTACCGTCAATAAATCCACATGCCGACTATTACTGACATAAATTAACTTGCACTTCAACCTATACGACTGTCTTAAAGCTAGCGCACACAACCTATTTTTGTATTTGTGGATTCATTTGAACAGTATTTATTCTGCTCAGAACAAGGACACAAAAGAAACTACATATTCACATTCTGAGTTTTGGAATAATTAACAGTCAACAAGACCAGAGAGATAGACCAGAGAGAGAGATCATAGAGAGAGACCAGAGAGAAAGCCCACAGAGAGAGCCCAGAGAGATAGACCAGAGAGAAAGACCAGGGAGAGAGCCCAGAGAGAAAGCCCACAGAGATGGACCAGAGAGAGAGCGCAGCGAGCGAGAGAGGCCAGAGAGGGAGACCAGAGAGAGTGGCCAGAGAGACCAGCGAGAGAGAGAGACCAGAGGGAGACCAGAAAGAGAGACCAGAGAGAGAGAGACCAGAGAGACTACAAAAAACTATTAGGAAGCATGTTATCATTTACATACTTGTAAGAAAGAGCCCTGCAAGTCACTATTTGATGCTTTTGGCTGAGAGCTGGAGGAGCAATCTCTTTTTCACTTTTCTGCCTCATATATCTGAAATAACTGATCTAAAGATCAAACACACACGTATGAAAACTGTAGTGAGAGTTTTGAGAGCTAGGAATTAGTTAGATGGATTTTAGTGCATAGTTCAATCTTTTTATGGTTCAGCCTTGAGCGCACACTATGGTCGGGCTGCCCGTACAATTTGCAACAGACATTCTCAAAATACTTATATACAGTTGCACCCATGTATTCTTACAACAACAAATATTCAAAATGGACTATAATTATGGCAAATGCACGCAGGAAAGTACTTGAACTGTGCCCTGGCTTTCCATAACTGCCACCACTCGCCGTTTGTCTGCGCGCACAAGCCTCTCCATTGAAGACAGGAGACAGCGCGAGCGAGACACCCACGTGGAGGTGTAATTAGGCCGTCCCAGCGGTGGGGGTGTTTGCTCCTCAGGGTCACTGATAGCAAAACGCCTGTTAAACTTTATATTCCCTGATGGGACAGTGGAGCTGCAGCAGTCTCATTAACACAGGCCTCTGCAGTGTGCGTGGGACCATAGGTTAGGGACCGAGAGAGCCTGCATTGAAACGCCAAAAAAAGAGGCATTTCAAGGTTTTCTTGTTTAATGAGTTATACATTTATTAAAGCATTAAGACATGTATTTATTAAAACTCTGTGGATTGATAAAAGTTAAAATGTGCAGAATCTACTGTACAGGTGAAACTTGGAAAATCAGATTATGTTAAAAAGTCCATTTACTGTGATTCAACTTACAATGTGAAACTCATAAATGTCAGGCTCGTTAAACGCAAAGTGAGATATATCAAGCTTTTTTTTGAGGTAATGTTGATGATTATGGCTCACAGCAGTAAAAACCCCAAATGAATCTGAGCCCCAAATCTAGAAAAATTAGAATATTTTGAAAATGCCATAATTATCAACAATATAAGAATCAAAGGCTTGGCATAGCTCATTTGTATGTAATAAGTCTATATTGGTTTTAACTTGAATTATAGAAAAAAAAATTACTTTTGAACAAGTTTCACCTGTAGATTGCAAGTAACCGTGGGTCCCTTCGCTACAAGATTACATACTTTTAAATCTGGGGTATCTGATTGTAGAATTACAAAAAATGGAACATTGTAATAAAATCCATCCGAATAGTTCCTCACTGTCAAAACACTTTGGTCCTATCACTAGTTCTCACACACATGTATTTTTAGCCTCTGTCATGTTTGCTTTTTCAGACAGAAAAGTGAAAAAGAGAGGACCACACTCACTCAATCAATCATTTCCTGGACATAGCCATCCGTACACTCCACTCAATCATCATTTCACTGCATGTAACGTCTGGGTCTGGTCCCTGTGTTAGCGAATACAATCGGTTGAATTTCGACCGACCATTCAGAGAGTGCGGAAGGAGAGTGTTGTAGTTAGTTGTGGGTGACATCAAGAGTTGGCATCGAACGGGAAGGTCGTAGTTTGGCAATGATGAAAAATGATTTGCACTTGTTTTGAAACTGTTTTAGCCGATTGATTTCACAGTGACACTTGTTTACTGTTTTATTTGTTTTATTTCCGTACTTTTAATGTTGTTTTATGTCTGTATTTGTCTGTGCACACTGGTGACTTTTTGCTAATGTATTCCAATGTGGTTTTTTTTACTGCAAATGGCAAATAAACGGAATCGGAATCTGAATCTGAAATGCGATAGTAAAGTAATTCGGTCTGGTTCTTTCAAGAAATTGAAGCCGGAGCAATAGGAATGTTTAGCAAATGTAATCGTTAGAAAACATTGTGGCGCTACTCCCCACAGGCTCCGTTAGCGGCAAAGGAGATGGCTAGGCTAAATGCTAACGTCTCACTTGGGCACACTACATACGTCACGGTAAACTCAGATCCAATCGTTTCAATCTGCAAAAGGAGTTAACCCCTCCCACCTGTAAACGGAGCTCAATGGAGCACCTCCAGACCTTTGTACGAAATGTAATTTGTACTATGGTGTGGTACGACCAGGCAATTCAAATAGTGACTCACAGGGCTCTTTCTCAAATGTATGCAAACTATGTAAATATTGTAAGTATTTGTTGCTACTAATAAGACTCTTTCTGTTGAGACAAACAAATAGTATAATAAAATAAAATGAAAAGTGAGGTAGCGCAGCTTTACTAAACTAGAAAATAGCAGTGTAATTCCATGGCACATCGAAGCCTACTTTGATATCAGTAATTTCAGTGAAAAAAAACATTCATTTTCATCAAGTCCACATCTCCTGAAATG